TTAGAGTCGCCACCGATCATTTATTTTAAAACAGATAGGTTGATCGGATACCTTTCTTTCTTACCTGATCCGCGTTGTACCAGAAACGTGTCGGGTTCGGGAGTCGGTTACGGTCAAGGAAGGATTAGCACCCTTGAACTGCCCTTTCGGTACCAATTAATTTGTCGGTTGTCCTTAATTGCGAAATATTAGAAATTTAAATTAAAATTTAAATACCCGATTTGAACTATTTACCTTGGATCGAGTGAGATTATTACTGAAAAAAGGCAAAAGAATGTTATATAGAAAAATAAATAAATAAAAATAAAAACATAAAATAAAAGTAAAAAATATAATAGTAAATAAAAATGTAAAAAACAAAGAATCAAAGAAAAAAAAGAAATAAAGACTACAAAAAGGTAAATAAATAAAAATAAATCGAAGAAATAAAATGAAAATAAAAAATAAATAAAATAAATAAATGAAGAAAAATAAATAAATAAATAAAATATTATTTTAAAAGTTATAAAATGGAAATAATGTGAAGTAAAAACAAATAATGTTAATAATAATTAAAAAAAAACATGATAGTAATCAAATAAAATAAAAATTTAGGGGTCAAATTGCAAAAAATGTAACATATAAATGGGGACCGAATTGAATCAATTGAAAACTGAGTGGCCAAATTGCATACAGTGACTAAAATGAATTGTGCTTCAAACATTGAGGGATTGCGGAGAGAATTAAACTACCCCTAATTACAACTTAGTCCCTCCCTTATAAATAGGATAAAACCCAAAAAAAGTCATTATTCACCCAACATGAAAAAAAAATCCATCTCCTTCAAAAAAACGCTCTCCCCTTCTCCTAAATCGGCCGAAGCCCGGCCACCGCCCGATGACATCTTTCCATCGCACTGCCGCCTCTCCGGCCGCCGCTAGCGGCGGCTGAGCAAACCCAAAACACCCGAAACCTTCGTCAAACACCCGAAACCTTCGTCTCACCCCCGAGATTCCATATCTAAACCCCAAAACAGGAAAACACAACCCCTTGGCGTAGATCTAACGAAAACCGCTTTTGTTTTTACCTTTTTCCGATGGGCCTTTCGACTTCCGGAGGCTTTGGTTTTGTTGTTTGGTGATATTTTGCTTTGTTTGGTTCTGTTCTCACCGTTCTATTCTCGGTTGTTGATGGTTCTCTTGTGTGATATTGATGGGATTTTTGTGTACTGTTGTTTTCTGTGTGGTTCTGTTTGCTCTAACTGTTGTGGTATTTTTTGTTGGTTGTGGCTCTCGATTTCCTGTTATGTACTCTCGTATCCCCCTCCCCGGTTTGGCTTAGTGGGTATTTATACCCACCTCTGATGTTATCTGCTCCGCCTTCCACGGGTTGTTTCCGATGATGACGGGGTCCCTCCCGTACCTTTTGGGCATATCGTTGCTTCACGTGGCAGGGAATCCCGGGATGGTGCAATCCCAGTTTTCCTGGCCGGTCGGTTCTCCCCTTTACGGTGCTATTGATTTTAGGGTTTCCAAACCCTAAATATTACAGGTTGGGTCAGGCCCAGAACCGACTCTTTTGGACTGCTATTGGACCCTTTTGACCCATTCGGACCTGAAAAGAAAGAGAAAAAAAAGTAATGATAATAATAATAAATAATAATGATAATAATAGTAAATAAATATAAAAAAACATTTTATAAAAACTATATAATATAAATTTCTAAAAACGTTTTTTAACTATATATTATATATAAATTTTCAAAAATGTTTTTATAAAAAACTATATAATTTTCAAAAATTGGTTTTTTTAAAACTATATAATTTTCTAAAATGTTTTTTAAAAATTATATATTATATAAGTTTTATTTTCAAAAAATAAATATTATATAAGTTTTAAAAAAATATTTTTAAAAATTATATATTATATAAGATTTTCAAAATGATTTTAAAAATATATATTACATATATTTTCTAAAATGTTTTAAAAACAATATATTATATAGTTTTCAAAAGTGTTTTAAAAACTATATATTATATACATTTTCAAAATGTTTTTATAAACTATATATTATATACGTATTTTCAAAAAAAAACCATTTGCAAACTATAATATATATATATATATATATAATAGGTAAAAAAATATGTTGACGAAAATGAGTGTCTACACTTACGTGATTAATCTGTTCTATTTTAGTTCTTCAGTTTTTAACTCCCGAAAATATTAGGTGAGAAATAAAAAATTAAAAAAAAAATCCATTTTAGTCCCCCGGCTTGCCGGTCATAACTGGCAATAGTTCTTTGATTCTTTAAACTTGCTGCGACTTTTACCTCCAAACCATGGAAATGGGCTCAGCGGATGTTGATGGTCAAAAGGTAAAGTTATATGTCATGAATCTTCTCTTTTATCATTCTAACAGAGTAGGATTATGAATAAACTTAAACTTAGAAACGATATATATATTCTTATAAATTAACCATGGCTATAAAGTATATATATTTTTGTGGGGAACAAGGAGTTTGTCTCTAACCAAGGTTTTTTGGAGGGTCGATTCAAGATCCCCAGTTATTAACAAAACCCCAATACGTATAAAATATTGCTGCAATGGCCGATACAATCCCAACTATTACTCTTCATTCAATTCTCGTGTTAACATGGTAAGATATTCTCAAACAAACAACTACATTGATGAGGAAATATTTGAGTCCATTATATCCTTGAACCAGATCTCTCTCTTCGAGCAGGCAACATAAGCACTAGAGCAAGCAAGCCATGTACGGAAGCACTGCCGCGATGAATACAAAGTTTGGTATTACATTCCTTAAAACATATGAATCTGTAATGTGATAAAGATTGGAGAAAACGAATGTATTGAGGCACTAGAGAAACAGGGGCGGACCTCCATGGAGCCCGGGGTATCCCGGGTAACCCCTCATCCAGGGGTGGACCTCCATGGTGCCCGGGGTATCCCAAGCAACCCCTCCACAAGTGCCACCCCTGGGGCTCTTGTAACCCCTGACGAAGGCTCCTGGGTCCGCCTCTGTAGAGAAATCGAATGGAGAATGAAGGCGACATGGTGGCAGTGAGGATAGAGTTTAGGTTAAAAAAGATCAAATTGATAGATTTTTTTTGAATGAATATCAAATTGACAAAATGTATAATTTCTCCTACTAAAATTGTTATTATAGCGCCACATCACCATCTTCATTAAGTTTTAACAAAAACTTAACGACCAATGATCAAAATAGGAAAAGGTAACTTAATTTTGAGTTTATCATAAAAATAGTTTGATGATCAAAATAAAAACAATATAATAGTTGAATGACCAAATATGTAGTTAAAAAATAATATAACTTTTTTTTAATATAAACTAGATTTTTATTAAATAAAAGGTACAACAACCAACACAACCCCATCATGAAAATCCAAATGACGTGAAGAAAAACAAAATAAAAACATTCTTTTAAAATATGTTTCATCTTTTAAAAAATTCTATCAACTATCAATAATATATGTCTCAATATGAATCTATACACAATATTGGTAAGATATGGAGATTGAGTGAATTAAAACAAATTGTTCTGTGAACAATTATAAATATTGATAAAGTGTCGTAAAAAGTGATTCAATTATTCAAGACCGTCGATCTTTTATAATCAGGAAGTACACCTTAATGAATGCAATATGAAATATCAAACTATCATAATGATAAAAAAATATCCTATAAAAGTATATGAACATCAGTACCATAAAAACAGATAAAAGCAAACGCTTCAAGAATATATGATAAGAAATAAATTGAAAGGAGGATAACTGTTTAAATTTAAGAAAAAAAATTAAACAAAAATATAAGAAAATGATTAAATTATTTTTTTGATAAATCTATAATAAATACAAAATAATATTTGTTCGAAAACTCTCGACTCGTAATAACTAAAGCTCATACTCTCACATTCATAGTTATCAAACTTGAAAGATCGATGGATAACCATAAATATATTAACTGATTGATTGTTTTGAATCTTTATCGTAAGAAATCATTACTTTGATCTCTCTTACTCATTCGAATAAACAACTAATAGTGCTTAGGGAAAGTTTTATAGTGCGACATTTTTAATATACAGTTAAAAAAATGTTATCAGTTTTGTTATTATTTAAATAATAAAATCGATAAAAATTATTTAAAATATTATTATTTTTACTTAAAATATTAATATTTTTTTAATATTTTCGGTAAAGTGTCAAACAATAACAAAATCAATAAAAAAAATAACAAAACTAGTAACGCTTATATAATAATAAAACCTGTAAAAATTTTCGATAAATTTTTTACCAATTTTTATTTAAATAATAATAAAATTAATAATATTTTTTAATCATATATTAAAACTATCAAACGTGATGATTTCCGTGCCTAAGTGAATAGACATAAGAGACAGAGACAAATTTATCACTGATTTTACATTTTCTACTCTGGAGAATTCTATACTGGCTGCTCTGACCAGAAAAATAAAACCGACAACTTTGAAACTTGCAAATCGTTAGAAATAATCGAACCTTGCATGTCAGTTCTTGATTTATTTGGTTTTCTTCCTCAGGGTTGTGTGTATTCGATTTCGAGGCCATGTATAAATTTTTATAAAGGGGTCTCTATTTTTTAGATATATTCGATTTCGGGATAATAATAATGACGTATTTTTGATAAACGCCGCGATAGATCCATCTATAAGGGCGTTTTATCAATAAAACCGTAATAATAGTGGCGTTTTTTTGAAAATCGTCGCAATAGGTCTATCTATAGTGTCGTTTATTATAAAAACGCCATTATATATTTATTTTTGGGGGGGGGGGGCGGCCCTACGTGTATATCCCATCATTTGACTATTATTATATCAGAATTCCAAAATGTTATACGAAGAAAAAAATAGCACAAATTGTCTGTATATATATCACACAAATTGATAAATAAATATATATATATATATATATATATATGTACATAAGAAAGATAATCTAGCAGCAATGGAGAAGGCCAACTGCAGGGTATGTGTTACAGGAGCCACTGGTTTCATTGGCTCTTCGCTGACCAAGAAGCTACTGGAGAAAGGATATACCGTCCATGCCACGCTCCGAAATTTGGGTATTTAGTAGCTCTCTTCGATTTCCGTCGTCTTGTTCGACTGTGTTTCAAATGCATTTTCTTTTTAATGGGGAATTGCTATGGCAGGTGATGTTTCAAAGGTTGAACTCCTCAAGAGCTTGCCTCATGCAGACACAAAATTAGTTTTGTTCGAAGCTGATATATACAAGCCAAATGAGTTTGAGCAGGCTATTCATGGCTGTTCGTTTGTTTTCCATGTTGCAACTCCCCTGCAACACTCTGATGATTCTCAGGTTTCTCTCTTGGGATACTATTTTTTTCATCTCCTGATAGCCAATGCCATGAACAGTTCTAACTATAAGATTCTTTCTTTTTTTGGTTGATTTTGGCGATTTATGAACAGTTTAAAAACATGACAGAGGCTGCAGTTTCTGCAACAAAAAGTATTGCAGAGTGTTGTATAAAATCAGGCACCGTCAAAAGATTAATCTACACTTCCTCTGTTAATGCTGCATCGCCATTGAAAGACGACGGGAATGGTTACAAAGACACCATGGATGAAACTTGTTGGACCCCCCTTGATCTTTCACTTGCTTACTCGAATGAGTTCCTTAAGGCAAGTTCTGTTACTTAAAAACTGTATATGAGATGATAATAACTAAAGAATTTGTATGTTCTATAGGAGTACACTGTATCGAAGACATTGGCTGAAAAAGAACTTTTGAACAGTGAAAAATATGGTGAATTGGAGGTGGTAACACTAGCTTGTGGCATTGTTGGAGGAGACACAGTTTTATCTTATACACCTACAAGTGTTGCTGTTTTCCTTTCACAGCTTACAAATAACACGTTCACAGACCAGTTTCTGAAATACACAGAAGAAATACAGGGGAAACTTCCAATTGTACACATCAATGATGTTTGCGAAGCTCATATTTTCTGCATGGAGAATCCTTCCATGAGCGGCAGATTCTTAATTGCAAACTCTTTTATTTCGGCAGCAGAACTTGCCCGTTGCTTTCAACTGCATTACCCTGAGTTTAATGTTAAAGCAGAGTAAGTACCCCAAATATGATTAAAAAGGACACTTACATGAATTGTCAGGTCTAAATTCTAGAATTTAGGGTTAAGGTCTAGAGTTTTTAATTTTCGAGTTTCTTCTGCATGATATGATGGTATATATGTTGTAATTAAGGCAGTGGAAAATGGATTTCAGGAAATTTGATGGACCAAGAAGAGGTATCAAGTGGGGCTCCACCAAGCTTATTGAAAAGGGATTTGAATATAAATCTGATTTAAAGATGATAATAGATGACTCTATCAAGTGTGCAAGGAGGACTGGTGAACTTCAGCAGTAATAATTGGTTTTTGACAGTAATCTGTTCTACGAAATTTATGCAGAATTTTACCTTTCAAACCATCTTTACTGTGTTTGTGTTATTATCTGTTATATAAATTATATAAAACTTATATATTATTATATTATGATCTTAAAATTTAAAATAATAAACTTTAAATTTTAAAATATAAACTCTAAATCTTAAACCGTAAAATATAAACCTTAAATACATTACTTACGTATCAAATAATTTTTTATTGAAATATATGAAATAATTATCTTGACTGGTATCCTTAATCAAAAAGTGTCACCATAAATGGATTCCGAATATCTTTCAAACTCCAACTAAGTGGTCACCCTTACCGTAATAAGTGGAGCATCTGGAAAGTATGCTTCTGCCCGTGCCTTGCAGAAGTAAAAGGATATGCTCTGAACAAGGTTGAGTCTGAACTTCTCGACTTTGTTCATGAATCAAAAAACAGTCAATTATTTTCAGAATTCTCCAAGGACACATCAGGACCTGCCAAGACACCAGTCAATGCCATTTTTGAAACATGAGGTGAAGTTAAATTTTCAGATCTTACAACAAACTTTTTAGGTATAACTCTCAAGTCATAGTGGACTTGGGATCAACAAACAAGATTCTAGGGAATTTGAAATAAAGGACTTGGGATCAGCAAACAAGATTCTAGGGATGCAAATTCACCGAGACAGAAGTAATAGGAAGATTTGGCTTTCACAAAAGAATTACTTGAAGAAGATCTTGTCACGATTCAACATGCAAGATTGTAAGCCAATTTCTACCCCTCTTCCTATTAAATTCAAATTATCCTCCAGTATGAGTCCTAGCAGTGAAGAAGAGAGGATGTAGATGTCTCGAGTACCGTATGCATCAGTAGTGAGAAGTTTAATGTTTGCTATGATATGCACAAGACCAGACATTGCACAAGCAGTGGGAGTGGTTAGTCGGTACATGGCGAATCCAGGGAAAGAGCATTGGAATATAGTAAAGAGGATCCTGAGATACATCAAAGGGACCTCAAATGTTGCATTATGTTACGGAGGATCAAATTTACTAATCAATGGTTATGTAGATTATGACTATGCAGGGGATTTGAATAAAAGTAAATATACTACAGGATATGTGTTCAAAATTACTGGTGGAGATGTAAGCTGGGTTTCAAAATTGCAGTCAGTTGTGGCTACATCCACAACAGAGGCAGAATATGTAGCAGCTACACAAGCCAGTAAAGAAGCAATTTGGTTGAAGATACTATTGGAGGAGCTTAGGCACAATCAAGAGTATGTCTCTCTGTTTTGTGACAGTCAAAGCACATTGCATTTAGCAAGGAATCCAACATTTCATTCAAGGACAAAGCACATACGAGTTCAATACCATTTCATTCGTGAAAAGGTGGAAGAATGGACGGTAGATATGCAGAAGATCCATACCAAAGACAACATAGCAGATTTCATGACGAAGGCAATCAATGCTGATAAATTTACCTGGTGTCGATCCTCTTGTGGCCTGTCAGAAATGTAAGCAACATGAAAGTACAAGGTAGAAAGAATGGTGTGAAGATATAATTGTTCCAATTAAATCTTCAAGTGGGAGATTGTTGAAAATTCAACTTAACATGCAAGTTGATGGCAACCTTTCGGTGGACAAAAAAATCTTTTGATGCATGTGCATTAATTGGCACCAAATTGTTGATTTTTGGACAATGGCTAAATCATAATTTAGTCATTAAACTTTAGGGTATTTACAAATTAGTCCTTAGGTTTCAACTATAAATACCCTATCTCATTTAGCTTCAAAATCATTCCAAAGCATTCTAGCTTTCTTCCAATACTAGAGAGAATTTAGAGAGTTTCTTGAGAGTTGTTTTCTCTTTTTTATCAAGAGAGAATTATCATTGTTTTCTCCATAGTAGATCGAGAGAGGTTGTAATTCCTATTTTCTCATAGTGAAATTCTTCTACCGTTGCCCGTGGTTTTTACCCTATATTATTTAGGGGTTTTCCACGTAAATTTTATGTCTTCTTTATTTTCATTTTTATTTTCTCAAATTATCAGTTGCGATTTTACTTTATCTGATAGCCGTCTTCCGCAACATCATTGTCCTAATGCATGAGCTGCGTCGTTATTTAGCTTCAACATTTTAGTTTAACCATCCTTTAGATTCTTATTAATTTTAAAATGAGTAATCTGATCCCTGTAAATAATGAGTAGGATAAACTGCATTGATAGTCATTACATTTTTAGGATGTTTTCACTTTGGTCACCAAATCGAAAAAACTTTCATTAGAATCATTGTTATTAAGGAAAACTTTCATTTCGATCATTGGATCGTTGAACTATTAGCAACAGTTGACGTAGCAAGACTACATAAAAATGAAAGCTAAATTAACATGCTCACATATTATTCTCCTTCTTGTATGACATTAATTTAATAAAAAAGGACATATGAGCATGATGTATCAATTGTCGTCGATACGTGGACGTGCTATATTAGTTGTCGTTAATGGTATAGCAATCTAGTAATCGAAATGAAAATTTTCTTTAATGAAAATGACTCCAATAAAAGTATTATTAAAGCGTAATCTAATAATTAATCATTAGTATAATTTATTCTAAAGATTAATCTAGTTCTACATTTTATAAGTGAAAAATAAGATTCAACTATGGTGATGTTAAACTTTTATGTTAATGCGTGACTTGTATCCAATCGATTTTTAATTACCCAACCACCTTACATAATTATCCAGCCATGAGACCATCATAGAGCAAATTTTCCCTTCACCTGTAATATTCAATGACGAATGTAAGTATTGTACCCTTTTAAAATTTGAATTTCTTTCGATCTTCGTTAGCTCATCTTGGCATCCCTCCATATATATTCTGGCAAACTCAACTTGGAGGGATGCAAAATATTGAAGATGATCATGTAAGAGCTAATGGAGATTGAAAGATTGCATTTTTGTTTGACGTTTGGCTTCATTATTTTCAATTATGTGCAGTTTGTTGCACTTTTAAACATATTTGGTTTCAATATGACACTTTTGCCCTTCATACTCGATAATTTTACATTGAAGTTCTTTTGTAGATGACAAAAGTCCCCTACGTTAAAATTGGGGTTTGGTCATAAACCCTAATCCGAATCTTCAATCCCGAACGAGCTCCACCCTCTATTCCAAACAGGTAATTCTTCCTTCTAATCTTTACTCTCTTTATCTTTGTATTAATTTCTATCAATACTTGAAAATTTGAAAATGGAACCTCTGCTTCTGCTTGCTTCAAACAAAGCTTCAATATCAACCTCTTTCCCCCTGTTTCTCTCTTACAAATCCTCATTTCACCGCAAACCAAAGTTTTCTACGAAATCCCATTTCCGTCCCTTAAACGAAGTTTCAGAAAAGACGCCATTTTTGGGCCAAAGTTTGGGTTTTCAAGATTAGGGTTTTACTTCCTTGGGTAATCTGAGAAAAACCCATGTCCCTTACGAGCCGGTGAGAGCTGCAGTTAAGAGAAGAAAAGAGGTTCCTTTTGATAACGTGATTCAAAGGGACAAGAAGCTTAAATTGGTGTTGAAGATAAGGAAGATTCTAGTGAGTCAACCTGATAGAATCATGTCACTTAGGTCATTGAGGAGGTATAGAAGAGACTTATAGGTCTTGAGAAAAGGCGCAGATTTATTGCTTTATTGAGGAAGTTTCCTGGAGTGTTTGAAATCATGGAAGAGGGGGCTTATTCATTGAGGTTTAGATTGACACCTGAAGCTGAAAAGCTATATTTGGATGAGTTGAGAGTCGGGAATGAAATGGAAGGCTTGTTGGTTGTTAAGTTGAGGAAGTTACTGATGATGTCAAAAGAGATACAAAATTTACGGAAAATCTTAAATAATATAAGGTAAAAATCATAGATAACGGTAGAAGAATTTCATTATAAGAAAATAAAAATTATAACTTTTTTCGATTTATCGAAGAGAAAATAATAATAATTCTCTATTAATAAAAAGGAATAAAACAACTTTAAAGAAACTCTTTAAATTCTCTAGTATTTGGAGAAAGTTAGAATGATTTAAGATGATTTTGAAGTTAAATGAATTTGAATATTTGTAGTTAAAATTTAAAGATTAATTTTATAAATACCTTAAAAATAAAGTGATTAAATTATATATTTTACCCTTTATTTTGACTAAAATTAGCCGCCCTTAATACTCCAAGTCGCCCCAAGCCGCCCCATTTGTTTCCTTCTCATTTTTTACTTTCAACATTTTTCTACTCTGGAGAATTCTATAGTGGCTGCCCTGACCAGAAAAAAAACCGACAACTTTGAAACGTTCAAATCGTTTGAAATAATCGAACCTTGCATGTCAGTTCTTGATTTATTTGGTTTTCTTCCTCAGGGTTGCGTGTATATCCCATCATTTTACTATTATTTTATCAGAATTCCAAAATGTTATGCAAAGAAAAATAGCACAAATTGTCTGTATATATATACACACAAATTGACATATATATATATACATAAGAAAGATAATCTAGCAGCAATGGAGAAGGCCAACTGCAGGGTATGTGTTACAGGAGCCACTGGTTTCATTGGCTCTTCGCTGACCAAGAAGCTACTGGACAAAGGATATACCGTCCATGCCACGCTCAGAAATTTGGATATTTAGTAGCTCGCTTCGATTTCCGTCGTCGTGTTCGACTGTGTTTCAAATGCATTTTCTTTTTAATGGGGAATTGTTATGGCAGGTGATGTTTCAAAGGTTGAACTCCTCAAGAGCTTGCCTCATGCAGACACAAAATTAGTTTTGTTCGAAGCTGATATATACAAGCCAAATGAGTTTGAGCAGGCTATTCATGGCTGTTCGTTTGTTTTCCATGTTGCAACTCCCCTGCAACACTCTGATGATTCACAGGTTTCTCTCTTGGGATACTAATTTTTTCATCTCTTGATAGCCAATGCCATGAACAGTTCTAACTATAAGATTCTTTCTTTTTTTGGATGATTTTGGCTATTTATGAACAGTTTAAAAACACCACAGAGGCTGCAGTTTCTGCAACAAAAAGTATTGCAGAGTGTTGTATAAAATCAGGCACCGTCAAAAGATTAATCTACACTGCCTCTGTTTGTGCTGCATCGCCATTGAAAGAAGACGGGAATGGTTACAAAGACACCATGGATGAAACTTGTTGGACCCCCCTTGATCTTTCACTTGCTTACTCTTATGAGTTCTTTAAGGCAAGTTCTGTTACTTAAAAACTGTATATAAGATGATAATAACTAAAGAATTTGTATGTTCTATAGGAGTACACTGTATCGAAGACATTGGCTGAAAAAGAACTTTTGAACAGTGAAAAATATGGTGAATTGGAGGTGGTAACACTAGCTTGTGGCAATGTTGGAGGAGACAGTTTTATCTTATACACCTGGAAGTGTTGCTATTTTCCTTTCACAGCTTACAAATAACACGTTCACAGACCAGTTTATGAAATACACAGAAGAATTGCTGGGGAAACTTCCAATTGTACACATCAATGATGTTTGCGAAGCTCATATTTTCTGCATGGAGAATCCTTCCATCAGCGGCAGATTCTTAATTGCAAGCTCTTTTATTTCGGCAGCAGAACTTGCCGGTTGCTTTCAACTGCATTACCCTGAGTTTAATGTTAAAGCAGAGTAAGTACCCCAAATATGATTAAAAAGGACACTGACATGAATATTCAGGTCTAAATTCTAGAATTTAGGGTTAAGGTATAGAGTTTTTAATTTTCGAGTTTCTTCTACATGATATGATGGTATATATGTTCTAATTAAGGCAGTGGAAAATGGATTTCAGGAAATTTGATGGACCAAGAAGAGATATCAAGTGGGACTCTACCAAGCTTATTGAAAAGGGATTTGAATATAAATGTGATTTAAAGATGAAAATAGATGACTCTATCAAGTGTGCAAGGAGGACTGGTGAACTTCAGCAGTAATAATTGGTTTTTGACAGTAATCTGTTCTACGAAATTTATGCAGAATTTTACCTTTCAAACCATCTTTACTGTGTTTGTGTTATTATCTGTTATATAAATTATATAAAACTTATATATTATTATATTATGATCTTAAAATTTAAAATAATAAACTTTAAATTTTAAAATATAAACTCTAAATCTTAAACCGTAAAATATAAACCTTAAATACATTACTTACGTATCAAATAATTTTTTATTGAAATATATGAAATAATTATCTTGACTAGTATCCTTAATCAAAAAGTGTCACCATAAATGGATTCCGAATATCTTTCAAACTCCAACTAAATGGTCACCCTTACCGTAATGCATCTGGAAAGTATGCGTCTGCCCCTACCTTGCAGAAGTAAAAGGAAATGCTCTGAACAAGGTTGAGTCTGAACTTCTCGACTTTGTTCATGAATCAAAAAACAGTCAATTATTTTCAGAATTCTCCAAGGACACATCAGGACCCGCCAAGACACAAGTCAATGCCATTTTTGAAACATGAGGTGAAGTTAAATTTTCAGATCTTACAACAAACTTTTTAGGTATAACTCTCAAGTCATAGTGGCTGCAATTCTCCTTGTATGATATTCATTACTTGTTTTCTTTATTGCCTTCCATCAGTAGTTTGTTGCTGGTTGCATGTTTGTGCTAAAGCTTCACTTGTATTTCCTTATTGTCAATTCCTTTGTGTTCCTTTTAACTCCTAATTTGTTGTTGTTAAGGATGAAATACTTGTCTGAAGTTTTTATAAATATCCTTGCTAGCTTTAGTGGCTAAGAATGGAAGGCTAAAACACATGGAAAGGATTGCAAATAAATTTGTGGATCGAGTTGACCATGGCTCATGGGAGAGAAGTCAAAGTATTTGTCACAAATGCTATTGTAAGTTTACTAGTAAAGTCTAGATTTCTTTAAGATCACTTTCATCGCTATTTGAAGAAAATGTGTTCTTAAAGTTAGAGATCTGAATCAGATGTTTCTTTCATAAGACAAGGCTCCAGATAGTCGTATCGGATTTCTTGCATAATGTTGTGCATCATGCTCCTTCAGATGGCTGGGTAGAAATCAAGACTTCAACGGGTCTTTAGCTGCAAGACGACAATGAATTTATCCCGTTTACAATTCAGATGCCACCACCATTAGAGAAGATTCCTTCATCAAATAACCACTGTTAGCCTCGGTTTTTGCCATTTCATGACCAAATTACTACATGGTTAATCCATCAGAGATATCTCATCAGAATGGCTCACAGCTTACATATGATGCGTTTCATGACAGGGTTTGAAATGTACGGAAGAACTGGTGGGGAAACTTCCAATTGTACACATTAATGATGTTTGCGAAGCTCTAATTTTCGGCATGGAGAATCCTTTTTGTTTCGGCTGCATAACTTGCTGATTGCTCGGTTGCATTACCCTGAAGTAAACACGCATTTGTGAACTAAACTTCTCTAACTTACGTTAAATTCAGGATTTATAAAATTTTACGTGAAAATTACAACTCTTTTTCTCTACCACTTCGTTACATGGAACACTCTCCACCCTTCTAAATTAAGTGAAAAAGATTAGTTAAAAAGCAAATGAAGGGTAAACAAAACGTTTCCCATACAAGAAAAAATAGTCCACTACTTTAAGAGAAGAATTCAGGGTTATCAAACGTGAAGCTCGGATCGAATTCCAACTTCTCGAGTGATGAAATACCCAGGTCTACTATCGGCGAATTCGTAACCGATGTTGGTGCAGAGATTATCTCCGTCAGATCGGATTCCGAACTCTGCACATTTTGGCCTAAACAAAAGCTGCCCATTTGGAACGGTGGCACTGAAAAATAGTTGGATTCAGATGTCGCTGGAGACACAAATGCAATATCGTTTTCCATTAGGGACTTAAAAAATAATCCGTTTTCAACTTCTCCTGAATCAGTAGGGAAAGAAAACGAAGGAAATATATAGTCTCTTTTGTCCAGGTCCTCTGTTTTAACCTTGAGCACTGTTTCCTTTGATTGTTTTTGCTTCTCTTCAAGTTGCTGCTTTTGCCCAGAATCATCGCCTTTCTCGAAATGAGTGGCTTGGTTACAGGTATGTCTTCCTCGATATTTCACCTCGAAGATTGTCGGGTCCTCGTCCGATCTCTGAACTTGCTTAGCAGCTAAACAACCTTGCGAGTAACGATGAGTGCATCGATAATATCCCCTAAAATTGTGCATACAAATTCAATTTTAGAACATTTGTGCATTACAATCAATGAAAGTGAAAACAAACCAATGTCTTTAAAGACATTTTCTCACCTTGGAAAATTGGATCCAAGAATATCTTTCTGCCCATATTTCCGCCAGCAGTATCCGTCCTCTAATGACGTCCCTGAGCTGACCCTTATTTTCTCATTCCACCCCGAACATGTTTTTCTGTGAAAGGAAACCAAACCAATGATCAACAACTGAACTTTGGAACTATTAAACAAAGAAGAAGAAGAAGAAATGGGAAAGTTGTGTTTATTTTTACCTCTTTTTAAACGAATGTTTTTCATCAGAGGCGTAGCTTCCATGGCTGCTATAGGCAATGGAGGCAGGGGATCCGACAATGCTAACCTTGGGTTGAGTTTCAACCATAAAACCACTCCAATTCAGCACAGAGAGAGCTTTCTCATAGGAAGAGAGTATTTTCTCAACTAAGACTTGGCGTGTTTCGGGGGATGAAAATGGATGAAGATGCTTCCTAAGCAGATTAGTTAGTTCTCTCCCCTGTGTTAGCTCGTTCAAAAGCATGTTTTGCTCCCAATCCATTGCTTTTTCCATTGAAAAAAAAAACACAACCAGTCAACACCCAAATATCTGCTTAACTCTAAGCTCTCAAGTTTCGCCGAAGTTTTAAGAACTTAAACCCAAACAAATGGAGCAACACTAGTTCATGTCAGATGAAAACTAGTGTAGCTTTGCACAAAAATAAAGACCCAAAAGCAAACAGCTTGGAAGAAGTTAAGATGCAAATGGTTGTCGTAAATAAAACGGGGAAGGGGATGTGGTATTATAGAAAAGGGAGAGAAGGTTGAGTTGAAGACCAATTCAAACCCAACAAAAAAAGGTGAAAGAAAAAGTTGTAGACGAAAGTCAAAATGAATGAAAGAAATGAGACAAGATTGGTTGGGACCTATCCCAGCAAGAATCTTCAAATCTTTTTCCGTGTTGCTGCTTACTAAAATTCACGTTTACATGCTAAAGGTGCGGCGAGGAAGAGTTAGATACACACAGCTGACGTGAATTTGTAGAGTCGTTGTCCCTATAATTATACCTAAATTATTATTTTTTATTAAGTAAAAATATATTAATGATTCGAACCACACAAGATCAGATAAAACGAATATTATTAACCACTCGATCAATTAATAGATCTTATTATTCCTAAATTATTGATTAAATCAATATCTTTAAACAAATTTTGATAATTATTTTATTTTTAACCGAGAGTATTAAAGTTTGACGAGCTTTTAATTTTTTTTAAAATTTATATATTCTAAAAAATATAATTAGAAATTCCAATGCTTATGAGTGTGGAATGTTTTAATCATTAAATCTGTTTAAATTAGCATATGAATCCCAACAGATAGGATGCTTATAATTAAACAAGGTTATGGTGCGTGAAGTTAAATTATTTATCTCTTAATTTTTATGGTATATTTATTTTTAGAATCTTTTTTTTAAAAAAATTAAACAATTTACTCCTCTTTTAATTCAATCTTAACTCGGTCTTTGTCTTTAATCAACAAATTTTCAGGAAAAAGAATGATAAGGAAAAAAGTTTGATTCTTTTACATTTTAGTGATGTTTGTGAGCAATTGTTGTCAATATCTTATTAGTAATCTTTTAGGAATATAAAACGTATAATATATATCTATGTACTATTAGGTTATTATTTAAAATATTAATAGTGGATCTTTTTTTTCTTTATGAATAATTTAGCTTATTATTGTGTGTTTTTAATTTTTTTATATCTCCTTTTTACATTTAAAATTTCGTTTTATTTTTATCAAATTGAATCAATCTACGGAAAAAAATGATATACATGTTAAACTTATATAAATTCATATTTTTATTTTTTAAAGAAAAAATATTAAAATCAACATAAACAAGTAACACAATATTTCTATCAATTATCAATAAGCATATAGGGTTTGCCCTATTTCCCCCCTTTTTTTAGTCGTAGTTGATTTTTCTTTTTCTTTATCTTTGTAATCAGTGGTGACATTAATCTTGATGTTTGTCGTTAATTGTCGATATTCATTGTTTTTTCCTTTGTTTTATTATAACATTTCTTTATTTTTTTTCTTTTTTTTAAAATAATTTTTCTTTATGGCACGTCTTCTTCTGTCTTTATGATATTTTTTGTCTTTATGACACGTTTTCGGTTGTTTAGTCGTTATTTTTGTTTATCCTTTTTTAGGGTTGGAATTGACATCGTCACAACTGATCAATATGACACTTATTTGTTATCATGCTGATCTTTCTTACTTTGGACCCTCATATTGAATTTGGATACGCGATTTGTGTTCGTGAATAGTATTTTCACGTCGTTTGATTCTGATTTGTGGTTTGTCGGTAGTCTTTCAATAACTTCATCATCTTTTGTGGTTCGTTTGTCGATGCAATGAAATCTGTTCATATTTATCTTTTGTTCAAGTTTATTTGCTTATGTTTTTTAATATTGTCATTGTATGGTCATTGTGTGATCTTAAGTAACTAATTTTCTTATCTTTAAGAAAATATCTTTATCACGTGTTTAGTTTACGGTCGTGGTTGTAAAAGTTCCTTGTATTTTGAATATTTTTTATTTTTAATAAAATTAGCGGTTTCTATAAAAATATTTTTATTAATTAATTTAATTTAATAAAAAATAGAAAAGATTAAAAGTCTTATTTTTTAAAAAAGATTAACAATTTCTTTTTAAAAGTTTGAGTAATTATAATTTGGGTAAAGTACACAAATAGTCCCCTGACATAGGGCACTGCTTTGTTGAGTCCCTTGACTATTAAAAAATACAAAATTGTCACTTGACTATTTATGTATTCCAAACTCGTCCTTTTTCATTAAAATTTTAACGGTCGTCTGAATTGGATGTTAACATACTTATTGGAATATGATGAAATATGATCTCAGAACCATTTGAGCTGTATTTTGTGGATCAAGTCTTTGTTTACATTATATCGTCAATCCAATGCTTGAAATATTATATTGTCGAGCCAGTGCTTGAAACATTATATCGTCGAGCCAGTGCTTGAAAGTAACAATGGTGTCTGTAGTAATCATTAAAATATGATTTTATCATATCCAGTCAGTATGTTAACGTCCAGCTCAGATGTTTGTCAAGTTTTTAACGAAAAAAGATGGGTTTGGAACATATGAATAGCCAGGTGACAATTTTTATCTTTTAATAATCGAAAGACTCAACAAAATAATACCTTATAGTCAGGGAATTATTTGTGTACTTTACCCTTATAATTTTGGGTTACCCCACCTTCCAAAATGTGAATATAATCACCGATAATGTGCAACATGTCTTGTCTCGTTGAGTAGGGGATTGTTTGGGATACGAACAAAGCTTCTTCACCCTCTTTTTCAAGTAACTCTACCATGGCCTCCATTTCTTCCTCTAACTTTTGTTCACTCTTTTCTGGGAAACGAATGAATAAATGTGATAAACAATGCGGCTGTTTTATTCTTCAAGTGTTCCCATCTAATCTTCATTTGGGGTGTGAAACAAATTCATTTTTCCAGGAAAAACCAAATTCTAGAAAGCAAATTGGAGTCTCTATGTTGGCCTATGATGTTGACATATTTCGAGAAATTTTACTATAAGTCCTTAAAAAAAAAGTAATAATATATGTTGTGAAGTTACAGACTGTGCTTGGAAATCAAAACAGACATGAAAAAGAAAAAAATAACGATAAAATGGCTGCCCATTTTTCCCAACATCATGTTGAGAGCAGCTTCCGTAAGAGACCTCTGAATTATGAAATGCCTTCCGTGGGACTCGATCCAACGATCTCAAGGTTAAGAATATTGTGCTCTACTAACTGAGCTGGATGGTCATATCAAAATAACGATACTTTCTTTTATCTGAATGAGAAAAAAAAGATCATTTTGATCTTGAGTGGTTGAGAATTCTGATATGATGTGCATTCCACTTGCTCGAGAAATGCTTCTTGTCCGATCCATATCATTGGACCCACAAATATCTTACTAGCTTATTTATCATTTACGCTGTAGCTGTTATCGCATTCTATACAAAATACAACAAGCAGTTGTTTTATTTTCCCGACAAATAAGAAAAAGACGAAGCAAAAACAAAGCAGTGGCGCTTTTTACAAAAGAGGATTGATGTTTGAAACATGACAGATTATAGGAAGTGGGAGCCTCTTGACCATGGCCATTGAGCCTTTCGAGTTTTGGACCGATGGATTGATCAACACGAGACAACAATCAGATTTACTCTTCTGAAAGACTCCATATCTATATTTTTATCATTATATTATATAAAAAATATTGATTATTTGAGCTGAAAGATGGTTAGTTGGGTGAAACTTTTAGCCTCAGGAAAGCTAGATAAAGAAGTGCAAGGAATGATGGTGCAAAACATCGTAATGGTAACTAATGTAATTTTAGAATTCGATTTTAAGTATTTATGTTATTATAATTTGTATTATCAAAAAATACATAAAAATATAAGAAGTACTTATATTATATCAGTCAAACATGTTAAGAGAATTAAAATTATAACCAATTAGGGTTAGTTCGAGTGGTAATCAATTTGATATCAAGTTTCAAGCTTGAGGGTTTATGTATGTAGAAAATCCTTGTTGGGAGACTCACCCACTAAATTCACGTGTGTGATACGGGTCAATCGGATTAGTAAGGGTAAAACTCTAGAATAGGGAGGAAAACCAAAAAAAATATTAATAGTACACAAAATTTAAAATTTCTAAATCACCAACGATTATTTAACATAATCAAATCAAATCCATTATCAACGTGTTAAGAAAATTTCATATCTTATATCTTTATTTCACATCACCTTTTATGTAGGATGGACCGAAGGAACTACACATTCTACAAGTACTTCCATTTCCATCACAACAAAAAACCACCTGGTGACATACAAGGGAAAGCCAAAGCCTTAGAAATGAAAGAAGAGGCAGATAACAATTCTTCCCTTATAAACATAAATTAGATGTTTTGCTGATGTCTACGACTGTTGGCGAATACTTGTCCATGTCTCATGATCCAAAACCTTTCTATTTCTTCAGCTTTTCTCCCTGGAATCCTGCCTGCAATTAACCCCCCACCTGCATGAATCATTCAAGTATTAGGTTACTCCATATAAAGCAAAAAAACAAAATGTTTAAGTCTCTGAAATCAGTGATAACTATTTATTCTCTGCTTTAAGATGAAATCAAAGAGAGTTATTTGAGGTTTACTTACTTGTCCCCAACGAGTTTATACATTCTATAAATAAGAACCTCTTCTTGTTCAGACATGTTTATGAACTCCCACTCAATGCTGCTCACCTCTGCAGTAACATTAACACCACCGACCACAAATAGAACTTGAAGAGCAACCAAAAGAAACCCAGAAATTCAGTGAAATCAACAATAGGAAAAGAAAACAACCCTACCTTCAGAGCAGGAGCCAGTGGTCTTGGCTTGCTTCCGGCGCCGTCTATCCATTTCTTTTATTTTTTTTCCCCGTTGTGTGGGACAGAATTTTTGAAGAGAATGAGAGAAACCCAACACGTGAAAGGGATTAAGACAGAGGACGATGGGTAATTAATACTTCCCTTGATAGATTTGTGATATGAATTCTGTGGACAGGTTTTATATAAATGGGGGCAACGAACGACAGATCCTACCAACCAACCCGAAATTAAATTTGGTTGACTTTTAGGTATCCCTGTTTAATTCGTAAGCATTCCCTTCTAAGCTTTAAGTAACTTGCAAGTATTTCTTTGTATCTCTATATTTGGAGGAGTAGAATCTACAAGTCTAAGGGTGTTCATTCGGTTAAAACGGTGGTCGACCGAACTAAATTAACCGTAACCGAATTAATTGAATTTTTTTTTCTTTAACTGTTAACCGAACTATTTTATGAAAGTATTAACCAAACCAAACATATTTCGGTTAATTTTCGAATTAACCGTAAATTTTTTAAATTTTAGAATTTAATTTTTTTAATAAAAAAATAGTTTACAATATCTAATTAATTTGATTCAAACATTATATTAAAATAAGATATTTGTATCTATCAATTTAGTTCAAAAATAACCAACAATATTGCACTTCTACAAAATAAATCAGAACAAAGTGCAGAATGCAGAACTGGAAGCATAATTCAGTATACAAACCAAGCATAATTCAGTATACAAGCAGTTTACACTTTAAGTGTTGGTGCATGAAGAAGGTTGTGCTAACTACTAAGTTGTTTGCTGCTGCTACCATACCAACCAAGATGTTCTCTATCAAGTGCAGAACAATTCATATCTTAAGAGAACATATTACCTGCACAAAAGAGATGCAAAATTCAGTTTGAACCATCAAAAACAATAAAAAAAATCCAAGGTATAAATATCAAATATATCTATTAGGTATCAACCAATGCTAAAATTATAAGTGCTAAGCTAACTCAATCTAATGTCATACAATCTTATTTCAGGTTGATGAAGCTCTTATGATGGTAGCAGGCCCAAAAGTTTATTTCATGCATTGTTTGTCTGCTGAACGAGGAGTAGAACTGACTGACAGTGTTATTGAGGCTCCAAACTCCATCGTCTTCCCACAGGCAGAAATCGCATGCATGAACAAAATGCTATAATGCTTCATGTTCTTGGGTTATAATTGCATGGCATTGCTGCATTTTTTAAAGAAAGATGGCACGATATGTTACCTCTAGAACTCCATTTTCATCGTAGACAAAAATCAAAATTTTTGTGAGTTTTGATTGCTTTTTCATGGGTGTAAGGGTTTGAAACTTGAGAAATTTTAGAATCTAACGAGGTGATTACAATAAAAAAAATTAACAAACATACATACACAACCTTACAGAGCAGCAAAATTTAATCTATATGGAAGTTGTCTTAAAAAAAAGCTTACAGAGAAGCAACCCTAAACAATTAACAAACATACATACACAACCTTACAGAGAAGCAGCCTAGACCAACCTATAAATTTCACCCCTCCAGAAGCAACAAACAAGCAATTACCCATACAGCTGGAATTTAAAACCTTCAACAGCACAAAAAAACTCAAAAACTTTTGATGACAACCACCAAGAAAAGACTAGGAATGCTGCAGCATATACACCTAGATAGAAATTCAGCTTAATAAAAAAATTAATCTGTTACTTTTGATCTTCGACCCACACAAATGAAGCTAACGAAAACAAAACATGAAGAATGCTGCCCAAAATAAACTGAGCTAACTCCAAGACTCACCAAGAAACTAAAACAAAACCTAACATCTCTCACACCCAGGAAAATCTAAATACTTGAAACTAATAGAACAAGGAAAGTGCAATCATGAAATACCGAATACCTTAAAAACCCAGAACAAGAAGGCCACCAAACAGAATCGAAACATGGAACCGAAACATTAAACAAATAAAAGAAAAGAGAAAAATCCCAAACACAGAAATGATATCAAAACACAAACCCTAAATCAAACAAGTGATTAAAATTTTTAAGGGAGAAGTAAATTAATCAAAGAGAAAATCTAGAAATTTTAAGTTAGAAAACTAACCTGAATCGAGATTAGAGAGACTGAGAGAGAGAGAGAGAGAGAATGAATGAGGGTTTGATGAAAGGCGAAAGCTCGGGTGGTGGTGCGAAACTGAGAATCGTGAGATGAGATTGGTAAAAGTTTACATTTAGTTTTTAGTTTATTTTATTTAATTAAAATTGATTTGGACATTTGGGTTTTAAAATTTAAATGGGTTTTAAAATTTAAATGGGCAGTGGGTTGTTGTCTAACGGGCTGTGGTTGAGTTATATATATATATATATATATATATATATATATATATATATATATATATTTAATTTGATTAATTAATCGAATTCAAACTTAATTAACCGTTAATTAAATTTTAAAAATTTTTTTAACCGTTAATCGATCGAACTAATTCGGTGGCCGACCGAATTAACCGAACTAATTCAGTTCGATCGATTAACCGAATTAGTTCGAAAATTTAAACACCCCTATACAAGTCCGAAGATTTCCCTACCACGTAGCCTTTTTTTTTTCTTTCTGAAAGGGTTACCCTACTAGTGCTTAAGTACACCAATTATTATGGGTTAAAGTTCATTACTAGTCCGTGTATTGTATAAAAAAGTCTATTTTAGTCCCTCATTTTAATCACGGCATGTTTGAAAAAGTTAACATTTTAGTTTAAAACATTAAAATTACCATGACTGAAGATAGGAACAATATATTATTAATCTCCAATGGCTTTAAGTAGAATAGGTTTAAAATATAATTGGCACATTCAAATTCCTAAACCATCAACAAGTCTAAATTTAAGAATCATTGTGCTAATGCATGTTTAGCTTCAACATTTTAGTTTAAACATCCTTTAGATTCTTATTAATTTTATTGAGTAATCTGATCCCTGTAAATAAAGAGTAGAATAAACTACATTGATAGGAATTACTTTTTTAGGATATTTTCACTTTGGTCACCAAAATCGAAAAAACTTTCATTAGAGTCATTGTTATTAAGGAAAACTTTCATTTCGATCATTGGATAGTTAAACTATTAGCAACGGCTGAAATAGCAGGACTACAATAAAATGAAAGCTAAATTAACATGCTCACATACTATTCTCCTTATTGTATGACATTAACTTATTAAGGAAAATGACATATGAGCATGTTGAATCAATTGTCGTCGATATGTGGACGTGCTTATTAGTTGTCGTTAATGGTATAGCAATCCAATAATTGAAATGAAAATTTTCTTTAATGAAAATGACTCCAAAAAAGTATTAATTTCAACTATTAAAGTGTAATCTAATACATTGATCATTAGTATAATTTATTATAAAGAGTAATCTAGTTCTACATTTTATAAGTGAAAAATAAGATCGAACTATGGTGATGTTGAACTTTTATGTTAATGCGTGACTTGTATCCAATCGATTTCTAATTACCCAACCACCTTACATAATTATCCAGCCATGAGACCATCATAGAGCAAATTTTCCCTTCACCTGTAATATTCAATGACGAATGTAAGTATCGTACCTTTTTAAAATTTGAATTTCTTTCGATCTTCGTTAGCTCATCTTGGCATCCCTCCATATATATTCTGGCAAACTCGAACTTGGAGGGATGCAAAATATTGAAGATGATCATGTAAGAGCTAATGGAGATTGAAAGATTGCATTTTTGTTTTGACGTTGGCTTCATTATTTTCAATTATGTGTGTCGTAACCGGTTTTTGTCCGGGCACGAAATATTAAATTTGGCGGGGAAATTGATGTGAATAAATAATTTTGAAAATAATTTGTGAGTCGCCATCGGCCTTTTGGATCAGGTAGGTCGAATACCTAAAAATTATCTTTTAAAAGAGTTTTTAAGAAAACCATATTTAAAAGATGAACTGATCTGCGTTTTATAACCAAAAATTCGTTCTTTTTAATAATAAAAAGGGATTCGTGGTCGGTTACGTTTAGGGAAGGATTAGCACCCCTACAACGCCCAAAATTGGTACTTTTTAATTATAAATTGTCTCTATTATTAAAATTTAAAAATTCAAAAATATATTTAATTTATAATCCTATTATTTCAAAATTATATAAAAAAATATTTATTTATTTAAAAATATCCGAAAAGAACTTCTAGGTGCCTTAAGACAGCTCTTTTCTTTGATATTGATAAATATTAATTTAAATAATATGGTTTACTTTTTAATTTTAAAATATCAGAATAGGACATCCAGTTGTATTAAGACTGTCCTTTTTCTTCAATATTAAAAATAAATATTTAAAAAAAATACTATTTATTATATATATTTATAAAAATATTTAATAAAATATTTAATAATATAATAAAAATACAAATACTACTAAAACAATATATTTAAAAACAATAAAATAAATGAAAACATATAAAATAAACGAAAAAATAAAATTAAAAATCTAATTCATAATTAATCTAAATTACAGGGATTAAATATGTTATTTCTTTATTTGGTGACTAAAATAAAATTATCTAAAATTTGGATATTAGAATAAAATAAATTAAAAATATAAACTAAGGATTAAAATATTATTTATTAAAATTAATGGATTAAATCTGTAATTTATCCTAAATATATTATTTTAATATGAAGGACTAAAATAAATAAAATTAAAATTCGAAGACTAAATTAAAAATATTATAAATTCAATTTAGTGACTAAAATGTAAAATTTACATATACGAAGGATTGCGAACGGGGTTTAACTATTTCATAATTACGCGCATAGTCCTTCCCGAAATGACGTCGTTCGGGAAGGACTATAAGAGTCCAAATCGGCTGGCCCGAAGGGCCAGCCATTTCATTTCTTCTTTGCTTTTTTTTTTCTTTCTCTCAAACAGAGAGAAGAATTCTCTGTCTTCTCTCTAAACTGAGAGAAGCTCAGCCGGCCGGCAGCCGTTAGCCGGCGTTCATCCGCCGTCAACCACCGCCGCCGGCCACCGTCTTCGGTGGCCGGAAAATTTTTTTTTACATCTAAATGTAGATCGGACCGTCCTAATGACGGTCCCGATACTTTTTCCCGTTAAACGACTCCC